AGGAGGGCTGTCTATACTGGTTTAGGGCTTCATTGGAGGAGGACTGTGTATATCAGCTCAGGAGTCCTTGGATCAGGGCCGTCTACACTGGTGGGAACGTGTCTTCTGGGTGTCTCTGGAGTGCGATTGCTGGGTCAAAGGCTCAGATCTATGTATAAAGTTTATGTAAAATGAAATTTTCCCTGGAAGCACAGTGAGCGTGCAGAGCAGTGTGGGAATCTTAACTTGTGCCTCCACCACCCGGTCCGGAGCCTCGCCTGCCCCTCGCAAATACCATTTCCTATAGAAGGATCAGCACGAGGCTGGTCTATGAGGTGAAGGTTAGAGGCATCCCAAAATGTCTGGCTTTTTGAAATTTGATTGTTGTTGTCAGGTGCCATCTAGTCAATACTGACTTATAGCGATCCTGGGTACAACAGGAGACACTGCTGCTCCTGTGCCAACCTCATCGCGGTACTCATTGCTGCTTCCCTGTACCTACCAGTCCTTCTTGCTGGGGGTCTGCCTCTTTTTCTCCGACCCTCCACTTTACCAGACCTTAAAGTCTATGCCACTGTATGCTCCTCCCCTCAGTGTTCTCCCCGACGTCCCCTGGTTCTGCAGTTCAGTGCCAAGTTGCACAGAGGAAATGACTCACAGTAGTGGAGGTGGGCAGTCCCAAATCCACAGTTCAGATGTAGGGTGGAGGATTCTCCTCACTCACGCAGAATCGGGCTGTTGGCCCACCAGGCACCAGAAGCTGGCGAGTCAGGACAGGCTGCCGACTCACGTTTCAATACTGGAGGTCGGACGGAGGCGAGCTTGGCCAGTCCAGTAAAGCAGAGCACAGCCTACTCAAATCACAAATACGGCTCATTTTATTCCCTGCAGGATGGCAGTGATTTCTGTCTGTACTGTCAGAATGATCTGTGTTAATAATCCCTCAAAACGGAACCGTATCATCCTGTCAGCATCACCTTCCCCCCCCCCACATACACACTCAGAGCCATCAGGGAAAAGCTGTTTGGTGGGAGAACCACAGACTGGAAGAGGGGCCTGTTGCTCCTACCCTCCCCTGTGCCCCAGCTGTGCTGTGTGTTGCTGAGTGTGCAGAGGGAACCCATTACGGAGTCTCCTGGGTCTGGCTCGTGTGTGTGTGTTTGTGTGTGTGAGGGGCGGGGAGCAGAGGTCTGTTCTATTCTCATATCTGTGGTTCTGTGGCTGAGGGGCACTTAGGATGCTCCGAGCTGTCTGAGTGCCGTGGCCACATCTCGGGTGCTCACCTCTGGTGAAGTGTCAACTCCAAGGGGCCCTGTCCCTGAGCAAGTGGGATCCATCCTGCCAGGTGGTTCTCCAGAGCACTGGGCCGGCTTCCCATCCTCAGCCAGCATGTGGACAACAGCACCTAAACTACCTGGGGAGGTTTGGGCCCCTTCGGTCTCTAGTCAGAACTCCCTGCAGGAATTATTTGGGTAGCACGTCCTTCAAACACTGACCACTACGTACCGCCGACTAGACTCCCAGCAGGGCAGCCCCGTGTGTGGCAGGGTAGAACTGTGTGCCATGGGGTTTCCACAGCTGAGTTGTCACAAGTAGCTCATAGCCCTTCCTCCAAAGGTGCCTCTGGGTAGGCTTGAACCACAAGTGACTACACACTTAGCAGCTTGTGCCACCAGGGATCTCAGGGATCTCCTTGCTTAGAGACTGGCCTCTGTGCAGCGCTCCTGGCGCTTGTGTCTCACACTGAGGAGACACCTCCTGCTCCTGCTCCTGCTCCTGAACACACAACGTGGCACGCACAGTCGGTGACTGCTTTGGTTAGTTTTGGGCCGTTTTGTTAAAAGTTGGTGCAGTCAGACATTTTGGAGCCTCAGGTACTCACACACCTCAGACTATGACAGGTGGGCTTGAACCCGACACTAGGTGGCGGTGTGAGGAGGGATCTTTCTGGAACCCGCATGGGAACAGATGTCCCTGACTGGACAGCAGGGTGTGACTGCCTGCCCCTGCTGTCCACTGTGGGGAGCTGCTGTGGAGGAGACCACCGTGGTGGCTCTGTACTTGATTCTTCCCCTGAAATGTTGGCCTTTTTCCCTCAGATCACAAGGAACACGACTCCCATGTACAGGACGCCAGAGATCGTGGACTTATACTCCAACTTCCCGATCAGTGAGAAGCAGGATATCTGGGTATGTATGGTGCTGGTTGGTGCCGGTCTGGGCGCTCGCACGCACGGACTCTTTCCCGACCCACACAGAGATTTCTGGTGCCCTCGTCTGTCCCGTAAAACCAGGGACAACAATGACATGGACAGCCGCCCGCTGGCCCTGGGCTCCTGTGGATTACACTGAAGTGTATCAGACTGTTAGATCTGTGCCTGAACCCCAAGTCAGCGCTGTTTATTAATCCTGACGTGCACCAGTGGAGCCCACCTGTAGTTCGTGTAATGTTGGCAGGAAGGGCCCCTAAAACCACCTCCACTTCTGACACCCACTATAGAATTTGGGAGTCGCTGAGATTGCTCACATCTGATACCATTCACAAGGTCAGGATTACCCTGGGGTTTGCTGAGTCACGAGAAGGACTCAGAACTCTCTGGAAGCCTTTAGACTTCTGGCTACGGTTTAACACAGTGAAAGGATGTGAGTGGGAATCAGCCCCAGGAAGCACCATGCCGGGGGAGCAGAGTCCCGAGAGTCCCGAATCGTCCTCTCCCTGTGCGGTGGTGGGCGGCACTGACTCCCTGCAGTCTCGCCAACCTTGGAAGCTCTCACACACTCTGACGGGGTTGGTCACGTAGACATGGCTGACCCCACATGACTGATCTTCATCTCCAGCCTCCCACCCCCCAGAGGTTGGGCTGATGCCACCTGACCGAAGGTCCCCAGTGTACGGCAAACTGAGTATAGCGCACGGCCCCTCAGAAAAGAGACTCTTCTCAGACAGGTGTATAGATCACCTCCCAGGAGTCTCAGGCAAAAGCCAGGCATCTGTGCGGGCTTGGGTAACTTGAGATTGGGTTTTTGGCAGTTTGGACAGATTCCCTGAAACACACATGTACAGCGTGCTTGTGGACAAGACCGTTGTTCAGTGCTCTGTTAACATCTTCCCGTTGCCCTCACTGCAGAGTTTAACCGTCATAAATATGTATTCCATAAGTCTTTGGCCAAAAAAAAAAACGCACTTGAGACTCACTTGGGGATCTCATTAAAATGTAGATTCTGCTTCAGTCGGCCTGGGGTGGAGAGGCTGGTTCTCATAGAGGGTCAGCTGAAATGACAGCGGTCAACTCCCTGGTTTGAGGTTCCTTAATTAAGCTCTGAAACTCAGCCGTAAAACCAAGCACAAGACCAGTGCCTTGGGAACCTTCTTCCTCTAGAAGGATCTCTGGGACAGGACCACCCAACTGGCTCCTCTGTGTCCAGGGTACTCAGTCTGTTCCTGGTCCCTGTAGGCACTTGATGCTCACCTGAGTCTTCATCCCTACAGACCCTGGACGCTCCCTTGGGTCCTCATCTCCACAGGCCCTGGGTGCTCACGTGGGTTCTCAGTCCACAGGCCCTGGGCATTTGGTCTGTGTCCTTGTCCCCGGTAGACACCCCGGGCGCTCAGCCTAGGTCCTTATTCCCACAGGGCATTCAGTCCAGATCCTTGTCTTCTGTAAACCTTTGGGCACTCAGCCTAGGTCCTCTTCCCCGACAGACCCCAGGTGCTCACCTGTGTCTCCTCCCTGGGCATTCAGTCTGGATCCAATCCCCCATGAACCCCAGGCACTCACCTGTGTCCCTCCCCCCCCCCAGGCCCTGGGCTGCATCTTGTACCTGCTATGCTTCCGGCAGCATCCATTTGAAGATGGAGCAAAGCTTCGGATCGTTAATGGGAAATACACCATTCCTCAGAATGACACTCGGTACACTGTCTTTCACGACCTCATCCGTAAGTGTCCTGCTGTGAGAGGGAAGCAGGGGGTCCTCTCAGGAGAGGGTGGCTCCCATTGTGGAGTCCTGCGTCGGGGCCCTTCAGTGTGTTGACGGTAGCCTGAAATGGTGATCATTCTGTTCAGATTCACAGTTGTTTAACACCGCTCCATTCCCCAGTGTGATGTGCTGAAAACCAGTGGTCTCTGAGAGCCTGTGACCTCTGAGGAAGTAGGCGACGCCCTATGGTTTCATGCAGTGTGCCGCACCTCTGTTTCAGGTTCCATGCTGAAGGTTGACCCAGAGGAGCGGCTGTCCATTACAGAGCTGGTCAACCAGCTCCAGGAAATTGCTGCTGCCAGAAATGTGAACCCTAAATCGCCCATCACAGAGGTAAGGGGGCAGGTCCGTCCAAGGCCACAGGATGCGGTTGTAGAGGGTGTCTGAATCCGCGAGGTGTTGCATGTAATCAGGTAGTGTGGACAAAGCGCTAAGAGACGCCCGGTCAGCTCCAGAGTTCTCACACACCCCTGTGTGAGGGAAACTCCCAACCGTAGTGGAGGGATGGGCTGGAGCCAGGAGCGTCACCACAGGCCAGGTCTTCAGGCCCACCTTGAAGGGGGCTTGGATTACCACAGAAGCACGCCACCTGTGTAGGGTCCCAGGGGTGGAGAGGTTTGTTTTTAAAAATAAGGGAGAACTCTGTCACCGATGACATGGGTTTGGGGACTGCAGTTCACACTACCTATGTGGGACTGCTGAGAATTTCATTATGGATGAGCCCAGCATTTCTCCATCAACACATTCTGCCGTGTGCCCACTCTTGGAATCTGAAGGACTGAGAACAGGCACTAACAAAGCCCTGCCTTCGAGGGGCTTCTGTTCTGGGTGAGGAGACGGGCAGGCGTGTGATGTGTCGCTCAGTGATGACTGATGTGAAGCGAAGGAAAAAGCATCCTGGGAGAGAGGGTGCTAAGCATGGTGTTTTCACAGTTGCTTCCTGTCATGGCCTGAAGGGGGCGACGCCAAAGATGTGGCTATACCCTAACCCCTGGAATCTGTGAAGATCTGCTTGTGACACAAAAGGACGATTATCATTCCAAGCAGCAAAAGATGGGATAAGGTTAAGGAGTTTGAAAAGAGAACTGTATCCTGGCTTACACAGGTGGACCCCAAATACAGTCCCGTCTATTCTGCTAAGAGAGAGGTATAGGGAGTTTCAAGACCACAGAGGAGGAGGAGGCCATGCAAAGACAGGCAGAGATTGGAGTGATGCAGCCGTATGCCGTGAGACACTAGGGCCACCAGGGGCTATAAGAAGCAAGGAAAGAGTCTCCCAGAGCCCTTGGAAGAAGCATGGCCCTGTTACCACCTTGATTCCAGACTTCTGGGATCTGAAGGCCAGGGCCCAGGGAGTGGAGGGAGCTGCACAGAGGTGACTGGAGTGGGGGGTGGAGTCCCATTGCCACCCTGCCACACTCTACTCAGGCCTCTTTATCCAAAACAGAGATAGCCGCCTTGCTGCAAGGGAAGATGGAAGGTATGACCTGGGCAGCAGTGGCTTCAACAGAAAGAGGATCATGGCTCTTTCTGCTGACATCCTCACTTCCGGTTTGACCAGGAAATACCCTCTGTTTGACAAGGAAACCCCTCGTTTCTTACTTGACAAGAAGATACCTCAATTCCTATTTGACTGGGAAACACCTCACTTCCTATTTTTAAAGGAAACGCTTTTTTCTTTTTTTTCCTATTTGTAAAGGAAGTACTTCACCTTTGACCTAGAGACACTTCACCCTCTGTTGGACATGGAGACCCCTTAGTGCTTGTTGGACAAGGAGGCCCCTCAGATTCCATTTGAAATAGAGAATGCATTACCTTTGTGTGCTGTGAAGACACCACAGTTTCTGTTGGACAAGAAGACCCCTCACTTCCTGTTTAACCAGAAAATCTCTTCCTGTTTGACAAGGAAGCTCTTCACTTCCGTTTTATAAAGAAAACCTTTCACTTTCTGTTTGACAAAGAGTTCCTTAACTTTTGTGTGACGTGGAAACACCTCCCTTTCTGTTCCTGCTTGAGAAGGAGACACCTCACTTCCTGTTTGATGAAGAGATACTTTACCTTTGATGTAAAGACACTTCACCTTCTGTTGGACAAGGCGACACCTCACTTCCTGTTGAACAAGGAGCCCTCCCCTCCTGTTTGACAAGGAAACCTCTTACTAAGAAGTTGATACCTCACTTCCTGTTGGACAAGGAGACACCTTCCGCTCCTGTGACAAGGAAACCTCTTACTTCCTGTTAGAGCAGACATCTCACTTCCTGCTAGACAAGGGAGCAGAAGCAGTGAGGAGTGCTCCTGCTCCACCAGTATCCACCAGCTGGTGTGCTCCTTCCGTGCCGCCTTCCCAGTACTGCCCATGCCCAGCTCCTCCGGGGATGGGCTAGAGGGGTCCCTTTGGCCCAACCCACAGACATGCTTCTCCTCTTTCTTCCACATTGCCAGTGTTTGCGTCACTGCTGCTTTTCCCCCTCAGCGTCTAAACATCATGGTAAAATGTCTCCCGTACTTTACAAAAAGGCAATGAAACAGCAAACCACCAGCCTGTCACTTGAGCCCTGTGTGCCGTGAGCTAAGGCCCCGTTTCTGTCTCTCTTCACAGCCACGCACTGTGAGTCGTCTGTCTTTGCTCCGCCCCCTCCTCCCATTCTCTCTTGAAACCACACCAGCCAGTCTTGTGTCCTGCCGCTCTGCTGGAGTCGCTCCTGGCCAAGTTGCTTGGTTTTCTGTGCTGCTGTCCAGGCCCCGGGTCTCCCCACATTTCCCCTGGCCTCCTGGACCCTTCACCATAGTTGCTTCCTTGCCTCCTCAATTTCCTCATCCCTCTGGGCTATCCTGGGCCCCACTCGTCCACCTATGCTCTCTGTCTGATGCATTCAATGCTGTGTCTATGTGACAACTCCCAGCCTACATCGGTGTCCAGCTGCTCGCCACGACCCTGACTTGCACAGCCAGCAACCTGGTGGCAGTTCTGTTTGCATGGGCGGCAGAGACGTCGGTCTCCATTGTCATCTCCTAACCCAGCTCCTGAAGCTTCCTGCCAAGCGGACCTCTTTCAGACTTTCCCATCTATTTGGAATATAACCACTCTGTTCTTTTGGTTGCTCGGACCCTGAACCTTGGCGGCATCATCTTTCCACTTTTGTGTCTAATCTGCCCGCACTCTGGCTGCTTCATTCACCTTTAGGAAGCAAGCTGAAGGCCCCGGATCTGCCAACATTCGGGTCTAAGTGCTGCCATCTTGCCTGACTGGCTGCCTGCATCTCCTGCCAAGGCAGATTGTTGTCCGATTGGAAAACCTCAAACCAGCTTGGGTTTTCTCCACTGAAATCCTCTGATGGTTCTCCAGCTCGCTTCAGAAGAAAAACCAAAGTCTATGCACAGCCTCGACATTCTGCGGAGTCTGGCCCCCTTCATCTCCCAAGGGCCCCATCACCTTGAGGCTGGCTGCTCGCTCCTCAGGACGTATTCACCCACACGCTACCATCCAGGGCCTTAGTGTATCAGAAGTGTGTCATCCTGAACTGGAGGTTTCATCTGTTAACTCAGACCTGCCCTTGGGCTCCAGTGGACTTCCGAGACTCTTGGGGAACTCCTTGGATTTGATGAGAAGTTGGGGATCGGGAGGAGGCTGGGTGAACTGTCAGGCCCAGCTTGCCTGAGTTGGACTGTGGCGGGCATGGCTGCCTGGGGAGTGGCTCATAGCAGGTAGACGTAGTACGGAGGCTCGTGCGGTTCATGTCAAGGGCTGACTCCCTGCGTTTGGAATCTTTGCAGCTCCTGGAGCAGAACGGAGGCTTCGGAAACACTGCCCAGCCCCGAGGGCCTCCCCCTTCTGGGGGTCCGGGGGCCCGGTCCACAGGCCCCTCGAGCAGCGGGTACAGTGGAGGTCAGTGTCTACGCAGGGGTCTCTTTGAGAGTAGCTCCCCACCCCCAGAACCCCAGAAGAGCTGTCTTCACCCTTGTGGACAACTCCCAGTCTTAGCTCCACCCCCTTTTTCTCATGACTAGGAACCAGGCCTGTGCTTACCAAGTCTCTTCCAAGCACATGGCCCTTGGAGGCTTGGGGAGCAGAGACTACATTCCCTGTGCTGGTGAGATTATGACCCAGTGGGAGAGAGAGTGCGCGTGTCCAGGGTCCCCAAGACCACCGTCATGACGGTCCAGGAGTTCACTAGGACTCCCGGGACTCAGTGTAGCCGTGACACACTCGGGGGTATTTTGTCATCACCCAGAGTGGCAGATAGATGTCAGCATCAGGGAGAGAGGCGCCTCGGGTGGAGCCCAGGAGAGCCAGATGTGAGTTCCCGGTGTGCTTCCTTCTCCCAGCAGCAGTGTGTGACATCACATACCGAGTCATGCCAACCAGGGCAAGCTCACCAAGCCCTGGTGTCCAGGCACAGTGTACCCGTGTGGCGGACCTTCATCTCCAGCCCCCGAGGTTGAGCTGATGCCATGTGGCCCAAGGCCCTCACATCATTAGCAATGGACTGCCTTGTGTGGCCAGAGCCCTCAGCAGGACAGAGACTCACCGGGCGTAGATCCTCTCCCCTGGAATGCCAATCATTTGCTGCCCACATGGAGTAAGCGAGGTGATAAGTGGACGAATCACCTCGTGTGTTCCAAGATGCCAGGTGTTGTAAGGGAAGACAATGCCAGTGTGATGGGAATTGGGGTGCCAGGAGGTGGGACCAGGCGGTCTGGTGGAAGGAGGTGGTTTGAGTGAAGTCCCGGTGGAACAGAAGGGGTGACCCTGCACAGGCTCATGGTGTGAGTGTGCCTGGTTTTGGAGGCTGCTGTGGGGGACCCAAAGCGGCCAGAGGGTCAGTGGGTAGAGGGAACTGCAGGTGAAGTATGGGAGTCGTATGGGGTCTTAGAGGAGCTGGTCGTCGGCCCCTCAGGGAGAAGACAGCACGGGGGCCCAGGTGGGACTGGGAGCAGTCCTAAGAAGACTTGTTAGTGGCTCGGACAGGAGGCACCCAGGAGGCAGGAGAAATGTCAGATTCTGGAACTAGTTGGAAGCCTGTGGGTCTCGTGGGTCAGGTCTAGATGAGTGATGTTAGCGTTCCGCTTCACCTGGGGTGTGTCTGGCTCCTGTTGTATACCTGCTCCCTGGGCGTCCTGAGACCCTGGTGCCGCTGTGTCCTGGAGCCCTGTCTTTTGGGGACAGGTGCTAGGAGGCACTTAGAAGGTTCCAGAGAGCCGTGAGCCAGTGGACCTGGGAATGTGGGTAGGACTCCGGCATGCATGTTCCCCGGTCAGTGGGTGTGCTCCTCTGGACTCTCCCTCAGACTTGGCTTCTCAGGTCCCACTCGAGGGCCCCTGGTGCCCCTGCCTCCTTCTTGAGTCCAGTTGGTGTGGATAGCCTCAGCAGACATGCCAACGGCTGAGTTCCGACCCCTCAGCTGTCCTTCCTGACAGCCACAGTGTGGGGCCGGGAGCTGCTTGATGCCTGACCCGCTGGATGTGTCAGGCCAAGGGACTGCTCTGAGGGGCTCCTTCTGGGCCCACTGGGGCCAGCAGTCCGGTGGGCACACTTCCAACAGTACATGGACACAGGTGGGCTGGCGTGTGCCGGTGCCAGGTGAAGGCAGGCCAGAGTGGGCTGGGGAGGCCGGGGTCTTTGGAGAGGCTTCTGGGAAGATGTAGCCCAGTCAGCGTGAAGACGCCTACAGACTTGGTGAAGTCGTCCTCCCTTTATGTGGGCTGAGCAGGGCAGAGCACCATGGAGAGTGCCTCTTCTCTCCTGTTAACTGTTTGGAAGGAAAACTGTTTCCTTTGTGATAATGAATCTTATGTGGCCACGAGATGTGGGAAGCTGGGAGTGACTTGGAAAGGCAGCCCAGGTGCACTGGGTTTGAGGTCAGAGGTGGAATGGCCCCTGGAGGCAGGGCCACCAGAAGGGTGCCTTTGGGGTGCTCTGGAGGGCTGGAGTGGTCCTCTTTTCCTGGGAAGAGATTGGGGTTCTCACCCCTCCTGGATCGGCCAGCACCTGCAGCACTCCCTGATTGTGAGGAAACTCACTTTTTTTTTTTTTTCAATTGCGAATTGGATGAAAGTTTACAGAACAGATGAGCTTTCCATCCAGCGGCTCACAGAGTTTGATTTCGTGTCATTGATTGCAGCCCCACAGTGTGACGTCACTTATGACACTTCCTTGCCGTGTTTCTGTTTCTGTTCCTTCTAAATCTGTCAGTTGATCTCAAACAGCTGATTGTTCTGTGGGGTGTGATTTTCCCCCTTACTGAGCTGTCTGTTCAACCGAAAATTAAGCCTCGGGGTTGAGCTCATTTCCAAACCAGTAAGCTCGGTAATTTTTGTTGGTGTCCTTTTGAATTTTGTTCTGTGTTTTTCTCCCACACTATCCAGGGCCTTCTAATGTGATTCCTTTTAGAACAGTCAGTAGAGCATCATCTAGTTTACGGGTTGTTGTTAAGCACCGTGGAGTCGGGTACGACCCATAGCGACCCTGTACAGGGTTTCCGAGGCTGTAAATCTTTACGGGAGTAGGAAGCCTCATCTTTCTCCCGCGGAGCGGCTGGTAGTTTCGAACTGCCGACCTTGAGGTTAGCAGCCTGATTCATAACCACTACGCTACCAGGGGTGGGGAAGCTTTTTTTCTGCTAAGGGCCGTTTGGATATTTATAACATCAGTCGCGGGCCATAGAAAAGATAATCAAGTTAAAAATTAGCCTGGTCCTGGTCCTGGTGTGCCGCTGTAGGAGTTATAGACCACTGGACCACAAGATCTATTTGAACCACAGGTTGGCAGTTTACATTCACCAGCCGCCCCTTGTAAACCCCATTCAGGGGTCACTGTGAGTCGGAAGCAACTCGACAGCACTTAACGACAGCATATTTGGACGGCTAACACTGCGGTGCCTTGGTAAGGCTAGATAGACCAAATGATTTTGTGGGCCGGATGTACCCGACCCCTGGCCTAGTTCTTTTGGTCTCAGGGTCATGGAAATTGAGGCTCGTGTGACCCATTTGCCTTTTAATAGACATGCTTTCCACTCTCTTCTCCTCTGGATGAGGAGGCAAGCCCAACAGCTGCACCTCAGGTGGCTGCTCGCTCCTCACCTCAGTATGACTTAGGGTAAGGTGCAAGCCCCCTCCTTAAGCTGAGGTCAAATCAGCAGATGTTTTCTAAGAACTTTGAAGTTGAGAACAACAAAACATAAAAGAAAGTTTGGAAATGAGCTGTTCTTGCGTGTAGAGTCTTTATTCTGAACTTGCTGAGATGGCCACCTGCTGGACACCATCTGCTCCAGGGTCCCTGAGCTGGAGCTTTGTGGGCCCCGGAGTTGGCCTGCCTGTCGCCTGCCGGCAGCCTCATCTCAAACAAACTTGAGATGTGTGTTGGTTTTTCTCTTTATTTATCACCTCTGTACCACCGCAGCCTTCTTTAAGGCCTTCTCCCCCGGGTGCCTTGTTCTAGAGGGCACCCTGTGGACCAGCTCTTTGTATCTGTGTTCTGGTTCAGCCGCCACAGATGCCCAGCTTGGCACTGACGCCATCCTCGGGCCTCGACTGCGGGGCTGGGCCCACATCTGCTGGGTGGCCTCCCCACGCCTAGATTGTGTTGGCATTGACCAGGCCCCGCCCTTCTCCTGCCCTCCCTCCTCAGAAGGACTGAGACGGTGGTCAGGACAGCCGTCAGACCTGCCGGGGCCTGGGCCAGCCAGGCATGGTGACGCTGGTGCCTCGTGGTGTGCCCCGGAGATCAGCCAGACCTACCGCCCCCCAACCCTACCCCCTATTGCTGCAGGCCTGTGGGATATGATTGGGCCTCAGTGTCTCCCTGTGGCTCTGCCTGCGTCCCTCCACTCGGGGACGGTTCCAGCGGCCTCTGCCCACATCCACAGCAACAGTTGTAGCCTAGGGCTTTCTGGGGGCGGGCAACCTCCTTAGACTGTTGTCCCTGAGCATGGGCTCAGACATCAGGATTTGCTGGAATTTGTGCTCTGAGGCCATGGCTCTGTCCCTTGGTCTAGGGCATGGTGATGTGTAGCTGGCAGGTGTCTGGGCCTGGTCTGCCCCACCTGCTGCTCGGGAGGTTAGGTGTGCCCCCACTGATCGTCTGTGCCTTGTTCTTTGCTTCCAGGTCTGACGGTGGCGGAATATGACCAGTCTTACAGTGGATTCTTTGACATCCTTAGAGGAGGAACGGAACGTCTCTTCACTAACCTCAAAGACACCTCCTCCAAGGTCATTCAGTCTGTCGCTAAGTAAGTGTGCCATGGGGACCAGGGGTAGACACCCCGAAACCCCAAATGAGGCGTCAGCACAAGGCATTTTCATGTCGCGAATCCTGACCCAACCCTCCCACCTTAGCTGAGTCCACGGTTCTGGCTGCGGTGGCATGAAGGCACAGCACCAGCCCGTCTCCCTTTCCATGTGCACGCACAGGTGGCTGCACTGTGGGTGCGGGGCCTGCTGCAGCTCTGCACCCAGATTTCATGGGACCAGAGCCGACTCCAGCATGTAGGGTCTCTTCTCCACTGCCCTGCCAGAGATGCTTGTCTAAAAGCAGTGAAGGTCTACTGAGTTATAGGGCAGTGTCACCTGCTTCCCCAAGAGGAGACGTGCACCCCAAGTGTGCTGGCAAGTCCAAGGGGTGACCTTCTGGTCGACCACAGCCTTCATGGTGTGTCAGGAGCATCGGCCGCACTCTTCTGCTGGTCTCGCTGTGTGGCGTCTTGTGACAGCACACTGCAGTGGGGTCTCTCAGTTGTGCCACGTGGGGCACATGCTGTGTCTCTGTGTTGTGCTCAGCACCCTGCCTCATCCATGGTCACCTGTCCCGTCTCCAGCGCCCCTTCCAGACCGTCCAGTGTGGCCCCTGTCCTGGGTTAGTTTGGACTTATCTGTGTCCATTACTGTGGTGCACCAATTTGGGTGTAGCTCAGGGACTCGGGTTCTGAGTCCTAACTTTCACAGTGATTTCAGGATCATGTGCTCTCAGACTCTGAAATGTTCTTGTCTCTGCTGAGCCAGTGTGACCCAGCGCAGGGTATCCCTGTGGGAACAGTGTAGACTGGGTGACATGGTCTATTCTACTCAACACCCTGCTGCATTTCACCTCACGCCCACACGAGAGTCACCTGGGGATCTTGTTAACGCAGATCCACTCAACACCCTGCTGCATTTCACCTCACGCCCACACAAACGTCACCCGGGGGTCTTGTTAACACAGATTCTGATTCAGTGACTCAGCTGGGAATGCAGATTCTAAGCTCAGGGTACGCCCGAAAGAAGTGGTGTGAGACACTAGAGCGAACAGGTGTCAGTGGGATCTAGTGTGAGCAACTCTGTGCCTGTGGGATCCAGTGTGAACCAGCGTGTGCCCATGGGATCTGGTGTATGTGATCTGGTGCGTGATCTAGCGTGTGTCACCTGTGCCTGGGATCCAGTGTTTACCAGTGTGTGCCCGTGGGATCTGGTGTATGTGTATGTGATCTGGTGTGTGTCATCTGTGCCTGGGATCCGGTGTGAGCAAACCTGTGCCTGTGGGATCCAGTGCGAACCAGCGTGTGCCCGTGGAATCTGGTGTATGTGATCTGGTGTGTGTCATCTGTGCCTGGGATCCGGTGTGAGCAAACCTGTGCCTGTGGGATCCAGTGCGAACCAGCGTGTGCCCATGGGATCTGGTGTATGTGATCTGATGCGTGAGCTGGTGTGTGTTGTCTGTGCCCATGTAGCCAGTATGAGCTGGTGTGCCGGCATGACAGTGTGCTGACTGAAGGACTTGCTGTTCGGAGAGGGCAGTGCAGCGCGGTTCTGCTGGGAGCATTTGGGGTTAATTCAGGAAATCCTTAGCCAGCAGGTGGAGGGGAATCCAGGATGTACTGCTCTCATTGGGGTCTCCCAGTTTTGAGTCCTGAGCTGTCCTCTGACGGAGTGGCGTAGCCATTGGTGTGACAGTGTGGCCCTCTACAGTGAGCTGTGTTTGTTGCAGATGTACTTTGGAACTTTGGGGCCTCATTCTCACTGTGTTTTCTTTTGTGCAATGGTCGTCCTTTTGGGCCCCCGCCTGCCCACAGCACCAGGTAACCGCATGTGTTCTGGCGTGGTGTGGTGTGGTGTGTGCGTGCGCATTATGCTGTCCGCTGGCTTGGCGGAGTTCGGCTGGTTTGATCTCCACTTTCTCTGTCGGTACCGAGCAGACTTGTGGACGGAAGGCTGAGTCCCACAGAGCAAACTGCATGCTGCGCCCCCTTGAGCCAGGTTGTGGGACTGCAGTCGCTTGGGATCCCCCAGCCCCTAGCTGCAGTGGCTGATGTTTCATTGCTTGGTTTGCTGGCCCTCCTGTCCTGAGGAGCCACACCAGGAGCACGCTGTTTTCGGTGGAAGGAAAGCAAACAAAAGTAATCGAGGTCAGCTTCCTGTTCAGTGTCCCGCCCCTTCGGGTGACATATCTGTGTGGATTTCACACCTGACTTAACATGGATTGTCCTGTTCAGTGTCCCGCCCCTTCTGGTGACGTATCTGTATGGATTTCACACCTGACTTACATGGACTTTCCTGTTCAGTGTCCCGCCCCTTCTGGTGATGTATCTTTAAGGACGTCATGTCTAGACTTGGCATGAACTGTCCAGTTCAGGGGCAGTAGCTCCTGCAGGAGTGCCACACCAAGGGCTCGGAACTCAGGAGTGACCACGTGGTCACAGCCCCAGAGACAGCAGGGTACACAAGGTACACCATCAAGACCGCCCTCTGTCTGAAGATGGCCCCCGTCTTCACTGCTGCCCCTACCTCAGTGCCCACTGGGTTTCCTGCCCGACTGTGGTGCCCTGGTGGTACCATAGGTTAAGCCTTCAGCTGTTCAAACCCACCAGCCACTCTGCAGAAGAAAGATACTCTCCTCTGTCCGGCAGGGCTCTTACGTCGGAATCAACTTGACAGTGACCGCACTGAGCTGTTTCCAGAGGACAGAGAGTCTCAGGGATGTCTCCCTGCACTCAGACTTGGTGATGGGGGTGGTGTTGGCATCAATGGCAGAGGAGAGGACAAAGGTCAGGAAGGATTGAGATTGGCAGCATCCAGCAGGTGGGATGTAGGTCGGCGGGCCTCGGTGGCAGGCGTGCTTACTGCTGTGGGTTGGCCTGGTGAGGCTGGAGCAGGGCCGGCACAGGGAAGCCAGGCACAGGTTTTCAGAAAGCTCTCCCCGGGAGTCCCACCGGAGTTACAGCCACACACGATTCCCCGCCCCAGGGAGTTGTGATTCTCCTCACCAGACCCACAGGCAGCGAGTCGATTTCAACGCCGAGTGACCCAGTGTTGGCCTTCTGAGACTCACTTGTCACCAGCACTGATCGCCTCATTTTTCTCCCTCAGAGCGGCCGGTGACTCGGAACTATAACACCCTTTTGGTAGCAACCCAGCACTTAATCCACTGAGCCATCAGGACTCCTTAGTCGTGCCTCCCCCAAAAAGCAAAACGGAACAGCATCCTGCTGCCAAATTGATTCTGACTCATTGTGTCCTCTGTGGGGTTTCTGAGAGCGTAAGCCTTTATGGGAACAGACAGCCTCTTCTCTCTCCTGTGGCGCAGCTGGTGGTTTTGAACCACCGACCTTGCAGGTGGCAGCCCCCGGGATGCAGGTTTTCATAGACCGCTGTGTGCTGAGCGGAACCCGCAGGAACAGTCTGTGAGTGCTGTCCTCACTGTGCAGCACCCAGACCTCGAGTGCATGGGAGTCGCCTTGATGACAAAGCCATCAGAGACCGCTGAGGGGTGAACTGAGCGTCAGCAGGTGTGACGGCTGTAGGGACAGATGTTTCAGGGATACGCCCTCAAACACCAACAAGTGAGGGAGAAGAGGCATCCCCGCCCTTCTTCCTGCTGAGGTTTGGTGCCCATGTTCTCTCTGCTGACCCCTGGCAGCGGCTTGGTCCTGCGCCCTCCACACAGGAGCAGAGCACTATCCCCGACCTGCGGTGCCCCCGCTGTAGAGCTCAGTCCAGTCTCCAGGTGGTGGGCCTTGGTCACCCGTCCACAGGCAGGCCTGGGGTTAGGGTTAGGGCTCTTGTCAGTGACGTGCATGTCCTGGGTTTGGGAGAGCCGCTTGGAGACGGCCCTCTGGGCAGTGTCGACAGCAGCTTCTCTGTTCTGGGTGATGTGTTTTGACTTTTCCTTGGGGAGCAGGGGTGACATGGTGACGGGGTACTGTAGGTTCTCCTTGGCCTCTGCTAGAGACGTCAGCTCCACGCACACCACAGTGGCCCTCCTCGTACTCCTGTGCCCATGCGTATCCCTGGTGGCGATGTGGCTCCATGGGCCCTGCACGGCTCAACTTCTGAGACGGAGCAGAGGACGAGCTCCCGCTTGCCTTTGTCGTTTCAGCTACGCAAAGGGAGACCTGGACTTGTCCTACATCACCTCCAGGATTGCTGGTACGTGTCCTCCTCTGGGAAAGTGTCGCCAGACTGCTGGCTTCCAGGGTGGCTGAGGGTCGGCGGCCCAGCTTCTCCTAGCTGGAGCCAAGTCCCATCCCAAAACCCTTCTGAGCTCCTTAGAGTTCCTGGGGATACCACAGGGTCCTGAGGGCACCCGGGGGTCCTGTGGGCTTCCCATCGGGAGATGCAATGCCCCAGCTGTGCTGGTTCCACCCTTCCCAGAACGCGGAGGGCCCAAAGGGGACAGTGCCAGCCCACGGTCAAGTCTGTGTCTGGGTCAGTTAGTGCCGGGAAAGCGGGTCAGGCCCAGGGAGTGTGTTCCCAGGAATCGCACTCTGAGAGTACAGGTGCCATGTGGTGGCTCGTAGCTGGGATTTTTCATGGGAAACCCCCGATAAAAGGGCATGGGTGGGTGTGTCTTCCTTCCTTTTCTGCGCCCCTGCCTACTGACTGCGGAGCAGGCTGCCGGCAAGCTGTCCAGTTTGATGCCCGTGAGGCAGCTGCTGAGCTTCAGGGTCGGCAGCTGACCGTCCTCTTGTTTCAGTGATGTCCTTCCCGGCCGAAGGCGTGGAGTCAGCAATCAGAAACAACATAGAAGATGTGCGGCTGTTCTTGGATTCCAAGCATCCAGGGCACTATGCCGTGTACAACCTGTCCACCAGGACATACCGGGCCTCCAAGTTCCACAGTAGGGTGTGTGATGCACCAGACCGGGGCCCAGCATAGGAGGATGGGTGGGCGGGATGGAGACCGTTGCTGTGGCTTCATGGGGAGCCTGGGAGAAACCCACAGACCTGGGGCCAGCTCCTAGGAGGAGGAGCAGGGGTGTGTGGTCCCAGGACCCCCACCCTGGCCAGCTGTATACGCAGACCTCTCACAAGGTAAAGGGATCACTTCATCTCATACATGTTGGGATTAGAAAAGGGTGTGATTCCCTGGGTCCCACAGAGGGATGAGCATAGCCAGTCTACAGCACCGACTCCAGAAACCACAGAGAAAACCACAAACCCAGACACACAGCACGTTTAATGAGGACACAGTTGTTAGAGCCCAAACGTGGTGGGTGAGGGGTGGCATTTGGAGTGGCAAGGGACTTCTGTGGTGACAGCTGTGACAGACCTGTGCATGCAGCCCGAGCCCTATCCCGGGAAGACAAGGCCATGTGGAGCCCAAGTCATCCTAGGAAGAAGCATGGTTGCCAGGGAGTGGCCCGTGGCCCGGATGTCAGGGAGGAACCACTGCTGGACAGCGCCCTGACCCCGTGTTCCTGTCCTGAGTCTGAGGCAGCAGCCATTGCATGTCCTCCCTGCAGCCACTGCCACTGCTCTCCCCCCAAACCCTCTGGGCAGGTGGTCCTGGGCATGGTGGTGTAGTTTAGGTGAGGTGGGTGGTCATTCTCAGCCTTTGGGCACTTGGATGTTTTTGCCTCGGTCTCTAGGAGCAGTAACAAGGCTGCTGGAGACCTGGCCACACTGGCCTGTCCAAGTGGGTGCTCTGCTCCTTGAGCTCAGTTCTCAGAGATCAGTGCCAGCGGTATCTGTGCCTCTGCCAGGGCTGAGGCCCAGGGACCCTGTCCACACGGCTCATTCTGTCTGCGTGCTAGGCAGGTGGGCGCAGCCCTGAGGCCAGGTTAGCAAACAGCCAGCCCTTGGCCAGAGTGGCTCTCAGAACTGGAGCTAGGGAGGGTTTTAAAGGAGAATTGGAATATGAAAGTGTGATTAGGAAGCCGCAGGAGACGCTCCCTGGGGCAGGGGGGTTATTCCAAGAACAGCCCCGAAATGTCAGATGTCAGCTTTCTGAAGCAGAAATCCCGATGGCACAGAAGGACGAGCAGGGAGACAGGCATGGTTTGGAGACAGCACCGTGCACCAAGACGGGGCTGCCAGGCGGTTTGCCAGCAGCTCCACAAACCTGTCAGGCACTGATGGCTTCCACAGGCAAAGGAACCCCCCAAATTAGTGCAACAGGGAAGTCAGTGGTGGCTCCCTCGGATCCCAGCGTATTGAGATTGCAGAGTACTTACATAGGTAGGGCAGACTCCATGTTCTCTCTGCCAACTCCGTGATAACTCTGGGGCGGACACTTACAGTGCAGAGAAGCTGGGAACCAGAATAGGAAAGCGTAGGTAAAAGCCAGCAAGTGGAGACCAGGTACACGAACGAGACCAGTAAGCCCACAAAGTGGTGTCCACCCAGGGGACTAGGCGCTGTGGCTGTTAACAGAGCCCAGGATGCCCAAACCCCACCTTCCTGGCTTTCAAAGGGATAGGTGGGGGGGCCTGGCGAGCTCAACTGAGCAGACTCTTCTCTTGGCAGGTATCTGAGTGCGGCTGGGCTGCCAGGCGGGCACCCAACCTCCACAGTCTCTACAACCTGTGCAGGAACATGCATTCATGGCTCAAGCAGGACCCGAAAAACATCTGTGTGGTGCACTGCATGGTGAGTGGGGCCCGGCACTGAGCTTCGCGCTTCTATTGATGGGGCGAGCTTCCGCGTTAGTTCGCACACACGTGAGGGGTTCCGCGAGCAGCTGGTGGGTGTGAACTGCCAGCCTTTGAGTTACCAGTCCAGCGCCGTCCCTACAGTGGCACCGATGTAGCATCTGTTAAGTCAGACTAGTCACAAGCTGTTGCCGTGACGTGGACAGAGAAGACGTTCGTAATGCCCACAGACCCTCAGGTGGTGATAGCCTTGCGGACCAGGCTGTGAGCAGCACTGGACTCCAGACAGGGTTTAGGGGAGGGGGGGCTTCTGGATTAGTCAAAGGGCCAGGCTAGTGCCTGGAATGGATGACGAGTCATTGGGCCCAATTCACATGTAGTACACAGGTGGGTTTCTGGGGTCTGGGGTGCAGGAGGGGTCGCGCTGCTCTGTTGAGTTCTGAGCGCTGTGCCTCTGGCCATGCTCAGCCAGGTTCCCACCTCTGTTCCAGAAACAGAGTGGTCCTCAGGGAGCAAGGAAGCCATCACTACTGCCCGCTGGGGTCACACCCACAGGACAGGAGGGTGAGGCTCCGTGGGGGCCTAGCTCCCTGGGCCAGCTGTGCCCATGCCCCTTCCCTGTAGGACGGGCAGTTGAGCCTCGGTGGGGGCCTCCTGCTGTCCCAGCTGGGCCCCTTCCCTACAAGACAGGAAAGTGAGGCACGGGGGGGACCTTGCCCCTGTCTCAGCTGTGCCCACGCCCCTTCCTGTAGGATGGGCGAGCTGCCTCCGCCGTGCTGGTCTGCTCCTTCCTGTGCTTCTGCCGTCTCTTCGCCACCGCCGAGGCCGCTGTGTACATGTTCAGCATGAAGCGCTGCCCGCCGGGCATCTGGCCCTCCCACAAAAGGTACGTATGTCTGCTGCTCGCCATGCTGGCTACAGGGTCACAGGGGGTGAGTCTCCTTAGCTGCCCCAGGAGAGGTGAGAGGCCTGAGTAGTAGACACACTGCACGTGGAGGAGATGGTCGCTCCCCCAGACTTCTCTCAGACTGCATTCAGTGTCGTGCCCC